ATTTGTAATGTCAGTCGATTTTGGTCTGATTTTTAGCTGATTTTCCATATGTCCGATTTTTTTGATTTCGACCAGTGTCTGCAACTACAGATCTATTCTTACGAATCTTTAAAGGTAGTGCATACACTTGATCTTTCTGGATTGCCTCAACTGGAGACATACCTAGCAGTCGAGTATTCGAATTGTTTAACTTATTCACAATATCAGAAAGGTTCTTAATCCAGGCAGTATTCACACCTTCTGTAAGGAGTTCCTTTGCATCCTATATTTTAAATAGCCTTTCTGCTAAAGTTTGATTATATCATTTAACAATAGCTTGACTCTTATGAGTAGTACCCATCCGAATACATACATCTTTTTTATCCATTAGTCAGATAACTTCATCCTTAAATTCTGATCCCCCATCTACTTGTAAAACTTTTGGCTAAATAAGTGGGCAGTCTGCTTTACTATAAATCTTTTTAAACGCTTTAGCAATATGTGCAGAGCTGCAATCTTCTAGAGTAGGGATTGGAATCGATTCCCATTATTAAAATCGATTCTAAAATCGATTAATCACGATTAATCGTTTTGCAAATACTGATTTTTTTAATACTATTTATAATAGGTGTATTTAAACACATATCACGTGATTACAAAAATTACAGTAATCGAAGAACAAATTTCCTTTTTTGGAAATTTGTACAACCTTGTGCGATAGCAACTTGAATTTTATAGGAGACAAAATTTCCTTTTTAGGAAGTTTGTGTTCTGTTACATGATTCGCGAGCGGAATTATGAATTTGGCCAAAATTAACTATTATGAACAAATAATAATTTACGGCCAAATTAACGAATTTCCCCAGTATCACCGTAGAAAAATGTCACATTCACGTGATCATATTTTATTCATCACAACCGTCACACCTCACTGCGTTTCCATTTTTTATAAATATCTGAGGGACTTAGTTTTTTTCGAGTAGGCAAAACCTTATTTATCACCCCTTATTCGTCACTGTTTTATCGGAAAATTTTTTGGGGTGCAGAACTGCGGAGATCTGTAAAATTAGCAGATCTCCGCTTTTTTTTTTGTCATTTTTTGTGTATTTCTGCGAAGTTCTGCAAACTTTGCAACTTCGCAGATAATTGAATATTTTTATCTATAAAATCAGCAAAATTCTGCAATTTTGCAGAATTTTATTTAACAGAAAATTTAAAACATGCCAGTTTTGTGAAGTTCTGCGAAATAGCAGATCTTCGCTTTTTGTCCTTTTTTTTGCAAAACTCTGTGAAATTCTTTAACTCAAAATTGCGGGTTTATAATTGCGTTTAAACTTTGAGTAACTAACTAATTAAACTTTTCGATTTCAATTAGTAATTAAGCTTAATTAAGCTTTTCGATCATTTCCGTTGACAATTTATTTTCGCTAAAGTTTTTTAATAGTTT